TTTTTCAACTGCCACCGAATTTCAAACCGATTGATTCTATAATTTAAGTTTCTACACGCACGTACACATTCGCTTCTGGCCGCCATAAGACTTGTAGTGCCAAAAATTCTCTCAAACTAGAAATAGTTTTGGATGCTCTTGGAGGAAATGCCATCTATTGGAGACTTTTTAATTCATTTCCAACGTGCTTGATTCACGAGTCAATATTCTTAAGTTTTAAAATTAAAATTCAAATAAAATTGAAGAGAAGAAAAAATATACAGACAAGTAAAAAAAACATTCGAAATGGAAAGAATAAAGGGCAATCCCTACCACTTTTATCTTTTCCATTTATTTATCCACCTATTCTGGTATTTCTCCTGTCTTCATCATCGAACCCCAAATACTTTGTGCGCTGCCGACATTATGTACAAGCGAAAGCATTTGGTATATGGGGCGTGTCTTATGCTGTATATAATGCGCAAAGCAAAAATGAGAGAATTTGAATGTCTGCTCGATGTTCGATCGACAGTCGTCAAATGTTGTAGAATGTTATGCGCCGAGTCAAAATGATTTTCGATCCGTCGAATTTTTGGATTTAAATTTTTTTTTCTCGAATTTTCACGACTTTAAAATCATATATATGCACATAAAATTTCCGCAATCAGACCGAGAAAAAGTTAAGAAAAAGTCACCGAAAATAAAGAGAAATGACTAAAAAAATTCAACGAAAAATTGGAACCACTGAACAAACAACAAGTCATAGTGTGTTTAGAGAAGAAAAAAAAAACACTGACTGCACTGTTTGATATATTGGTTGTATAAAAAAAAAATGGACAGAAAACCATGCATTTATGCACAAATTGGCTAAGAAAGACATAAGTCTGATAATGGAGAGATAACAATGGGATAATCCATTTTTGTGTTATTCTTTGTTCTTTGCCATCGATTTGTCCACGTCGACTTCGCTCTTTTTCCCTCTCTCTCTCACTCTCTCTCTCTATCGCTTTCTCTAGCTTCTTTTTTGAGAGAGATGTTACTTTTTTCATAATGCTATTTTTTGCAATATTTATTATTTTATTGCATATGGTAGGATTTGCGGCAGGTTCCAATGTTCCAAACTTTCACCATACAATGGCATCGTTTGGTATTTTTTTGGCTTTAACTTGAATGCATCACACTGTTTCGCAAACAAAACGAAAAATTAATAGAGACTGAAGGTGTTTTATTTTTTTTCTATTCTTGATCTTTCTACTTCCTATCGTTTGTTCCAGTGAATTTGTGGTTGCTCGCTGTGGTTGCATACAGTAGCAACTCTTCGAACATTTCGTTAACACAAGAGCGAGCGAGAGAGAGACACACACAAAAAATGCGCAAAGAAAATAAATAGAGAAAACGATAATGTTGTAAGATGCTTGAAAATCACTTGTACAATGTGTTGTTGTTCATCCAGCCACTCGATCATCTTCTATTTATTTTCATTGGAATCAATTCCCTGTAAAATACCCACATTCGGGTGAAATAATTTCTAATTGAGCTTCCGTTCTGCTATTTTATTTGACAATGTTCAGTCGAACGCATTCAGCCATTGAATCAATATTTTCATATCGACCTAACAAAATACTATGTTTTAAATACAAAAAAGGTGTGTATAGGAGAACTTCGAACCAGAAATAAAATTATGTAGATCAAATTGTGCAAGCATCGAATGAGATCGATCATCCGTACCTATAAATAGTAATGTTTGTGATAGAAAAAAAAAAATGATGCAATCCGAAATGCAAATCGAACATTCACATTTTATTGAGATCGTATTTGCAATCAAACAATTATCATTTTTTAACGATTGTCAATCGAACTCGACGGAGATAGAATAGGACAATATTCCTTTGGGTATCGCATTTGCCACCCGTAATACAATGAATACCAAATAAAACACAGTGACATGCCCGCAAGGGAGATGAACAAAAATAGTTCGCCCGACGAACTTTGCCACATACACTTGCACACATGAATTAAATGGATCACACGTCTCATACCATCAATTGCAAGGAGTCTGAAGCAAAAATCTTATCTGTTGCCAATAAATTTCATCGTTGTTGCTCTTCCTCCCCCCTCTCTCTCTCTCGATTTGTGTTTGAAAGAAGATGTCGTTGTCATGTTTTTTCCTTCTCATATTCTAATGTTGTTGTTGCTTTGAAATTGAAAATGATAAGGTGATTTCGATTTCTTAATCTTGAACATGTATAGTAAAAACAGAAACACATACTATCTAACATTGACTTACTCATTCATTCGGTTTGTGATCGCAATGGATTCTTTGTTTATTCCGATTTGTAATCGAAGTTCGGTTGTCGCGTTTTGCCATTTCTTTCTCTCGCCTGCCATTCCCTTGATATTTCCATTTTGTTCGCTCCACCGTTTGCATGCTGTGTGAGTACGCTTGTTGTAGTACACAATCAATACGAAGAAAATGAAATGATGAAATGATTTTATTAAAGGCGCGATATAGATGATAGCGCAATTTGCGAAACATTGCAAAAATATATTTGTCTCAAGCGTTATGATTTGAGCGTTCAGTGTGATTTAAAAGTTGCTGGTGGTAGTAATAGAGTGCCGGCATCATATGGTTTTGATCGTCAACACGATCACCACACTGATTGCATCGAAAACAAACACACACACACACACACACACACACACACATGGGAGACAAACAGTGATCGCGACGAGTATATAAATAACGCACAAAAGAAAACAAAACTTTCAAATGGCGAGTTGATAAAAAAACGCACAATTTCGCATCCGTCCGTTGTATTTTATTATTTTATTGTCATTGGATTTAAATCGCATTGTATTTTGCATAGCTGTTCCTGTTTTTCGTTCATCTCTTCGATATTTCGCTAAATATTCAACCAAAACATATCAAATACGCTCGGCCAATAATAATTGATGTTATTATAATTATTCTGACATAAATATCGCGCACGTATGAACATTTAATTAGTGATAATCGGAGCACGTACAACGATCACGTACTGTATAGCGTGCGCGCATTCATACAAAGCATCTTGAGCAAAGCGCTTTCTCTTTCTGTCTCGATCACTTTTTCGTTCGCGTCATACACAGATTTTTTTTTTTTGTTTTTTTGAAAAAAGGACATTTCAATGTTCGCGCATTCAATCGAATTATAATAACATAAAAATCTCAAGAAAATAAAATAGCAAAGTGTGAGAAATTAACATTCAGAATCGCGCGCGCAAAAGATAAAGCAAACACAAAAGGAAATAATAAATATTATTTGATTTTGTTTAAAGGAAACAGAAAAAAAAAACTCAAATTGTAGCAAACTGCTGGCTCTCAACTGGGTCGCTTTGAACAGTGAACAGTGGTGCACGGTTTAAGAAAGGCGACTGCTTCGCTCTTGCTGATTTATAATTCTCAGCACAACTTTGTTTGTTTTCATCGTATCTCAAATGTATTCGAAGTTGGTTTTTGTTCACCATTTCAGCCGGTGATTGATTTTAGTTAAATGGTGAATTGATAATTTTACTTCAATATTTTCCATTGTTTAATTTTTTTATGGTTCTACGGCTGATCAGAATTGTACAATTGCCAATCTTCCTCTTTTTTTGATCTGATTGAATTTAAGTCGGTTCGTATCGGGTGCTGTAATTCACTTCCAAATCAGACATGAACATTCGAGATAAAAGAGTATAATTTAGAAGAGATTATTGAAATAAAAAAATCTTCCATTCGATATTTATGTCTCGACATACTGGATTATTTATCTGAAAGCTTAGCCCAATAACTGAATAGACACACAAACGATTATCACTCTATCGCAACAGAGTATCATTTATGTTACTTTTTTTCATATTTACAAAGAAATAAACATTCCATATAATTTGTTTATGATTTGTTTGAATTATTTAAGGCATTAATATCAAAAGTGTCTCTGTGTTTATCCGAAATTTCACAAATTTATGAAATTTTAAATGTGCTCTCTTAACGAGCAATTAGATATTTTTTTATTTATACCTTTGCTTTCGAATAATATTTGCACTTGAGTTAGATATCACGCAAATGACACGGAGAACAAAAAGTCATCGATAAATGTGAAAAAGGTCACAAGCTGCAGAAAGTGTTAGAATTTTTGATGTGAATAAATATTTTGTTTGACATGTTCACCGTCATCGGTGAGATTTATTTTCAATATGGTTCATGTCCAATTCATGTCCACTGCAAACGGTTCAATTTGATTGAAAGTTGGTCGTTGTGATTATTTGCAAAGTGATTTTAACCTTCGCCATCTTTTTGACAGAAATCATCAGTTTATGATTTTATTTTGTCATTTAACAGTGGCACATGCTTCGAAATCATTTCAAATCATAGCCGAATGAATTAAAACGTCAAGAAATAAAAAAAAATCATATTCAGTATTATCATACATTGAATTGCCATTAGGTATACCCTTACTATCTATCAAACTATATGCGAATGTTGACTGTACGGTACAGTAAAGCCGTGACCCGTAACGAGATTAATCGACACGGGCAAGAATAACAACTTTATAACGAAATCAAATGAGTCTGTCTTGACTGTACTTAATTGACTCGAATTATTAAAAAAAACGAAGAGGAATTTTCGAACTGATAACGGTATCGCGTGATTTCTCCTTCCAGTGTGATTCTCTTTTTTTTGTCTTTGGTTTCTTCGTTTATTATTCGATGTCCAGACATTAAAATTGCCAGTCCAACTGCCCAATTTAGTGTGCGATATTGTCAAGAAGAGAGTGTTCACTATTTCAAAACTTTTGTTCAATTTTTTTTTCTCTGTTTGTTCACATATACGAGTTCTGTGATAACTGTTATCATGCACAGAAAAGAGAAACACGTGATTTGCTGTTTTTTTTTGTTCTCTATCTTTAGTTCATCATTTTATTGTGAAATTATTCACAAATTTTGCAATTGACATTTTATTGGTAATAATAAAAGCGATTTGCAATTTTCTCTTTCAAGGAGAGTGAAATTGTTGAAGTCTTATGGAAACAGGATGTGGACTTGGGTTACACCTTAGCTCCAGTTAAGGCACAATCACCTAAAGAATCCGTCAACGTATCGGGACCATCATTTAACACGGAAGATAATGAGAAATTGAAAGCTCTTCAAGAGCTCAAAAATGATAAGGTAATTTTACTTCTAATTTGCCATCGAATCAACACACCATTCCATGAGTTTAAAGTTAAATGCATTCATTTAATGTTAGAATTTTCCATGTTTTTTTTATAATAAATTAAATTTTAAACAAACATAAATTTGCGCAGCATAAACCAGAAGAGCCAAAGTTGGACGATGAATGGGCAGGCATCAATTTCACCGTCGACAACGAAACTGGTACGTATCAATTTTGTTTTTGCATAGAAGCATTGAAGAAATACGTTGAATAATCATGACCACAACTTACCGTGGCTCGGAAGTATTTCCGTTAGAAATTTTATTTTTTTAGTTGGTATTTGAGCAAATATAGTAGTGATTATGTTAAATATTCAGATTAAGAAAAGCATATTAGGTTAGAACTGCTGTTGCCATACACGAAAAAAGAAGTGAATTCATTTTATTTGATGAATTCGTGCGCAGCACTCGTTGGAACGGCTAAAACTGGTAAATTGTGTGTATTTGCTTGATTGTTTTTCCGTCTTCGAAAGTTTTGTGTAAACGTGTATGGCGCTCGTGTATGTTGCTGGGGCAATCCCACAGATTCTATTTCATATGTTGGTTTCGGCAAAAGCCATTAAATATAAATTTCGGATTTAGCTCTGGTTACATTAAAAATGAAAACGATATCGCCCTTATTATTTGTGTATGCAATATCTAACCGAAAAACGACAAGGGATGAAGCGAACCAAACGAGAAAAGAAGAGAAAAAAAACATGCACACCGAAAAAAAAGAAAATCAAAAGGCCCTTGCCACTTACAGCTCAGATAATACGGATAATACATCAAAATCTACGCGTATAACATACTCTCTCTCTCTCTCTCTCTCTCTCTCTCTCTCTCTCTCTCCAACAACCGCTCGCAATGAGAATATCCGACAATTTTCAAAAATGCGGTACGCATTTCAAATGTTCCATTTTCGACGTCGCCGTTGTTGTGTGCTTTCATGTTTTTTTCTTCTCCCTCTCTCTTGTCAAATATGGTCGCCTTCTCTCTCTCTCTCTCTCGCCGTCTCTTTGATATTCCTCTTTTCTTTTCCATTGGTGAAAAATGATCGAAACATTACTTGCGTTTCCTTGATATTAGAAGTTATTTATGTTGGGATGTGCGTGGTACGAATTTTTCGGTTCGTGTCGAGTATTTGAAATGGTGCGTTTTATGTATATAAGAGAATATCAAATGGTTTTCGGGGCACGTTATCGATTCAAATGCACGAAACAGCAAGAACAGCATCAGGGCACCGGAGAATGCCATATCGCAACCAAATGAGCAATGAACACAAACAAAAAAACGAACAAACAAACACATACACATAACCAGAACAGTCAGCCTCGATAGAAAATGTAAAACATCGTCATTAGGATGCGTTGCTAAATATTCAAATTCAATCGTATTTCCAAGTGCTCATACAAAATTTTCAACAAAATCGACAAACTGAGGCGATAAAGCTTACATTCAAATATTTTCACGCATAATTCGAAATGAAAACTAGTTCAACCGCTTTTATTTTTTTCGATCAGAATGAAATGGTTTGGTTCGATTTTGAGCGTTTGGTACGAGGGGCCATTGAAAATATTTCGGGATAATTTTAAAATTTTCATTGTTTACTTGATGAAGCGGAATTGTTCTTATGCTTGAGCTGTCATTTCTATTGAAAATTCACAATAAAATGCATTAATAACAGAGCACACATTTTTTCCGAACAATTGCCATTCGTTTCGAATAATATTTCATTACACTCTAATAGATTTGGATGGCCATGAAACTTTGTACAAACAAATGGCTTTCGAACAGAGCCACAAATCCAACAGATCATATATGTAAACTGAAACGACAGTTCAGAATTAATAATAATCATTTCATATTTATCTCAATCAAAATGCGACCACCATGTTTGGTAAAGTTTGCCGAATAGTTTACGCAAAATGGCCGGGACAATTGAATTCAATTGATGCGTTCTTCCGATTTGAAATCCAATTTAGACGAATCTGTGTATCAAACAAAATGACATGTTCGCTCAACATGGTCCAACACGAAGGGAAATGTCTGCACCAATAAGATGCCTCGACATTTGATTTTCGTGGAAAAAAAAGAGAACTGTTCGTCATATGCCAGATTGAAATGTGTCAGAGCTTATATAATCAGTCACCAGCATGAACAAATAAGAACGTTCACGACACATATAATCTAATCGAGACAAAAGAATGGAACATAATACAGATTATTATTATTATTTGATGGCGCGATATGATTTTCAAAAAATTGGATTTTCTCTCAGTCGCCCTTTGCATTGGTTGTCAGTTCAATTGCGCTGAAATGATGCGTTCTTTTCTGTCTCACCGATGTATATATTTCGACAATGCTGTATGATTTTCTTTTGATTTCTGATGGTATTCTGGACTCTTTTTGTTAAAAATGTTTTTTTTCTCTCATTTTTTTTGTTGGATCCATGCGCTGCGGGTAACAGAGCAGCCAATCAAAATGAATAGATCTAGCCATATCTAGAAAAAGATTTATCCACAGATCTTCAATGTAACAAAATGAAAGAGTCGAATCGAAGAGAGAAAGAATAAGAGACGTTTGACGTGTTGCTTCAGAGATTCTTCGTTTTTTCTCTTCATTTCTGTTGGCGAGGCGGAAAAATCTGTGAAGAATCTAATTTTGTATTGTTGTCGGAATAATGAAGACATTTTTCCATTGAAAAACAAAAATATGACTCCATTGTATGTGTACAACAACCGTACAAGAAACACTCTAGTCGGTCGTTCTCATTCACCTGTGTATGCATTTTACTCGCTTTCTCTCGTTCTCGCTCCTTGGCCGACACACAAACACAGGGAAGTGTTTATAAAGTTTTTTTTTCTTGTAATTTTTTGGTATTCGTCTTTATAGTTTTTTTTTATTCTCTTCTCTTCGATTTTTAATTCGGTCTTTCAGCTGTATTTATCAAAACTGACCCAAAAGAATGTGTATAGATATACAATTTTTTCTTCACCATTCTTGTTGTTGGCTTTTATGCCATTCGGATGAGATATAAATATATAAGGCGGTCTCATGTCACGATTTGAACAATGCGCACAGCATATCAAAAGTCAACACATTTGAAAGGCAATACATTTAATTTGGAAACGTCAGCGGGGTTTGGAAATGATATTGTTTTCAAATCTTTTTATATTTGTGGCTTTGTATATGGACGACAACGACGACGACGATGGCTAAATCGAATGGGGAATCTAACGAACCGAGCCGATTGTGCTCGGGCTCAGCCAAACTTATTTGGAAAGTGAAATATGTAAACGCTCATAATAATAGCAATTAAAATTATAATTTCAAATTTTCTCATTTAAATGAATCAGAGCGGCTACACGATACGATTAAAAAATGCGAGAGAAAGCATGTGGAAATTTCACACGAACTTTTGATTACTTTAGCCGATGGCCAATCTCATTTGTTTTTTATTATTCTTCTTTATTTCTTTCCTGTCCGCCCATTGCGATAGGCGCTCGGTGGCTTTCTTCGAGTCACACAAGAATCATATTTCCGTTGTGCAAAATGAATGGAAAACGTGCACGAATTCAAATTATGAAGCAGCAACACCAATTTTCCCACATCGCACATATAGCGGAACATAATGTGCTAATTGACAACAAAAATTGATCAATGTGTGCGTTAGATAGATCAAGAAAATTGCAACGAAACCAAACTGATGAACGAAAAAGAAGAAAAATAGACCGAAAATCATTCGAAATTACGGAGAAAAAGAGAGAATTTCATGTTATTTTGAATGCTTGAGCTAAAACAATGAAAATCGTTCGTTCGTCAAGTAAAAATCTGCTTGTAATTGTTTTCGTTTCCAATTTGTGGAAATTTCTTTTTGTTCCGCAAAAAAAAACAAACACATCACCAGCGTTGATCCGTACAACACTATAATCCAGTGCTCGTATCATTCGAATTAGACTTTGATTCAGATTTTGTTTTTCTCTAAATTTAATTAAGCCGTTTAGTCGAAAATAAGTAAACGAACTTTAAGTTTGCCATTGTATTTGCACAGTGAACTAGCAATCGATCGCAACTATACAAATTAATCGATATTCTTTGGCTCAATTTCCACAAACAATGGCCAATAAAAGCGTTACTTATTCAAGCTCTTTTCGTTTTGAACGGGGCAATTATCGACGTTGAGCTCAATACCATCCGGAACAGGAAATTGAAACTTTGACGAAAACATCCAATCAAACAGTCAAACTAAATATTTTTGTGAACTTCTGTGTCGAAAAGTCGATGAATTTGTGAAAAAAAAAATGTACGTTAGATCCTTTTTCGAGTAAACCGACAAAAAAAATTGTAGAGACTCTCAAAAAGTAGAGAAAATTGAATTGAATAACAACATTTGTGCAGGACAGAGTTTATGTTCCAATAACAGATACCGTATGGCAGCGCTGAAAATAACAGCAAACGGTGGCACTCATGTTTCAATTCCAATAATAATTTTCAACGGTTATTTTTTTCTATTCACTTCACTATTTTGTGTTTGTTCATCCATTTTGATCAAACAATTCGACATCTTCATTTGTTGAACCAATAATAAACCGCTGGTCGAAATCGGTGTTTTTTTAGTTCGCGGTTAAAACCATTGACATCGGCAATGTCTAATGTCACAATAGGAACACAAGAAGAGATTGCCGAAATTAGAGCTATGCACACGCAATGAATCGTAAATAATTCGAAAATTAATCGAATTAAGAGCATCGAATTTAAATTATATTAATAGATCAAATCGAGTGAGATTTGCTGAAGTCATTGCTGAATGCTTTTATTGACATCGATTTTGTGCGGCCAAATCCATTTACAGAACGTGTAACTAATTAAAATTCAATTTAAATCAATTTAAGTAAAACGGTAACAATAAAATTGTGTATCGGCAAACAGAAAATTCATTTACATTGTGTCACTGGATCGAGTGGTCCATCGCGTTTTTTTTGCATTCGTTTCAAATCGAAACCAATCCGAGCTCAAAGTTCAAAAAGAAATATAATTCGGCGAGAACAGAAATTTAATTTAATTAACATAAAACGGTCGATTCGAGCCCACCAATTGAAAGTGAGAAGAAATTACAGATGAAAAACAGCCGAAAATAACAATGAAAAAAAAAAAGAATTGTACACACACACACACATTTA